CCATCAGCTCTATACTAAACGTATTCACAAATGCTCCTCTCACTTCTCACCACAACCAACTTCTGGGTCCAACAACCCTACACACTCACCTGGACCACTGCAACGGCTTCCTAGCAGTCCACCATCTTCCGCTTAACCTCACCCCAGGCTCCTCTCTGTCTGTTCATGTCACTACCCTCCAATGGTTTCTCCTTACAATTAAAATCCAAACTCCACACTGTGGTCCATGAACCCCACACAAATCCCACACACAATCTCATTCCCTTTGACTCTCCTGATCTCAGTCTTACACTAGCCCTGTTAGCCTTCCTTGTTCTTAATCACACCAACCTCATGCCCACCTCCAGATTGTTATATTTATTTTTCCATTGCCTAGAATGCACTTTCCCCTACATCTTTGTGTAGTCTCTGATGAAATGTGAGGTCTTACCTGACTATCCTATCAAAAAATAGCTGTTGCCACCCCCTTCCTCACCCTAAGCGACTATGCCCTTGTCTTGCTCTATTTTCTTCAAAGAACTTATCACTTTCTAAAATTATCTTTTTTCTTTATTATCCATCTCCCTGAATGGAATGTAAGGACCAAAAAAGACAATTCTTTTCTCTGTTGCTTACCAGCTCCTGAGCCTAAAACCCTTTTGGCTTTAATTACCACCTATATGCGAATGACTGCTAAATTTATTTCCAACCCCTATCCTTGAGCTCCAGACCTGTATATGTAATCGTCTATTCAACATTTTGAAGCACTTGGATATCTTAACAGCACTGAAAACTCAATAAATCCCAAACAGAAGTCCATCCTGTCTGTTTGCCCTGCCTCTCACCCCATGGTAAATGACATTGCCATCCATTTGATAACAAAACCTAGAAACCTAGGAGCATCCTTAACTCTGCTCCCCTCCCTTACTTCCCATAACTAACCCATCACCAAGCGGAATTGATTGTACCTCTTAATCTCTTTCTTCATTTCCTCTGCCACTTACTTCCCTTGTGCAAGCTACATCGCATACATCCTAGGCCTTATCTAGCCCCCTGCGTTAGCCCAACTGGTTTCTCACTTGGCATTCACTCCAAAGTGAATGCCCCCAACCCATTCTATATATAATATAATATCTATATATATTTTTCAAATTACATCTGATGAAGTCATTCTCCAGCCTAATGCCTTTTAGTGGCTTTACATTGCTTAGAATAAAAGCCCTAGATACCCTTATTTCCAGTAACGTTCTCATGGTCTGCCTTCTACCTACTTCTCCAAATTTACCTCCCCCTCAGCTTTGTTCTCTCCACTCCAGCCTCATCAGCTGACCGTTGTATCCCACTGCCTAATACAATGCCTGGCACACCGCATGCACCATTGAGGACTAAAGGGTCCTAATGGGTAACAGGATGTTACATCAAGAATTTAAAAAACTACATATTTTAAAAGCCTGAAATAAAAACAGGTGGATAGATGTAAAAGAGGGAGGAAAACAATCAGAAGACCCGTTCATGAATTAGGGCACAGGAGAGATGTGAAAGTAAAATTAAAGATGTCGTTTTAGGTAACAGTGACACCCAGCTGGAAAGTGTCTAGGTGACCTTTGGAGATCAAGAACCAAAACTGGAGAACCCGCGGACTCAGAAGGTAAGCCTTGCAGATGCGCAAGCAGTTTTCAAGGGAGGGAAAAGTGGCTTAACCCTCGAGGAAAGTCCCACCACTTCCTTTCCCAAGAGTGAGACAAGGAAGGGTCAGCAAAGGGAGAGCAGTTGACTTTCAAAGCAGGAGGGAGAGGTTGTCAAAAGTGCTAAGTACTAAAATCAGCCAAGAAGGTTGTCAAAAGTGCTAAGTACTAAAATCAGATTTAGTATGGGAAGAAAGAAAAACTATTTGGCTCAGAAATCAAAATGATGTAAGAAGTACATTGGGAAGCTTCCTCCCAGTTCTTTCCCTGGCCTGTTTCCTACCTGTTCCCCGACACGTAGATTTTATTAATGTCATGCAAACATATATGAGAAAGGACCTTTCGATTTGTTTATTAGAGGAAGTTACTGGTGATCAATGAGACTATGGCTTGGAGGAAACAAGAGAGGGAGCTGTATCATGGTGCTAAGGAATAAAGCAGGGAGGGGAACAGATTCGTTGAATACAGGAGTCCCAGACACTGAGCTAGGGAGTCAGCATCTGTTCTTGCCTTTGCTCCTCACTGTACATGTGGGTATCATCAACCATATTTCACTGGTGAAAAGACCCAAGTGCCAAATGGTTCAGTAATTGCTCGTAACACAGCTAATAACTGGCAGTGCCAGGAATGGTTGATGAAGAGGCAGGCGGAAAGAGAGATTTCCATGTTAAGGTTATTTACAAGAGCAAGTAGGGATGTTTCTACAGTGGAAGAGACCTGTGCATTTTTTAAAAATCAGAGAAGGGAGGCAGAACTTGGAGGGACGAAAATTCCGAGATAATGGATGTGGTTCCATAGTGTAGCAGTCAGCACGTCTGCTTTACATACAGAAGGTCCTGGGTTTGCACCCCAGTAGAGCCACAGTCCATGATCTACGGCCATGCCACCCTGAACAAGCCTGATGTCTGATCTTGGAAGCTAAGCAGGGTCGGACCTGGTTAGTACTTGGATGGGAAACCGCCTAGGAAGACCAGGTGCTATAGGCATAAATAATAATAATGAAAAAATTTTCAAGATAAAATAATTAAAAGCAAATTTGTTTCCTGAATTAAGAGATAGAAGACTGGAGGCAGGAACTTCTATTTTGCGGAGGAAAAGTAACAGCAAAGTGAAGCAGAGGCGGGAGAGAGGGCTGGAAGACTGAGACGGTTGAGTTTGTAATAGTCACAGTGGAAAGTGAAACAGACACTCATTGCAGCACATCAAATCAAAGACAGCCTAAAGCACTCTGCAAAGAGTGGGAAGCTGCAGGAAGTAAATTCTTCCCCTTTCCAAAATTGCCCTCACCCCTAAAACCAGTCCTCTGCATCTCAAGAGTGAAGGTGGAAGAAGACCTGGGTGATGAGCCCAGAGGACTAATGGGCTTTTCTGAGTCACGGTATCCTGGAATTGGTGCTGCGGTCAATTCTGTCTGCTAATTCTGGAGTCCAGATGGAGACATGAAGGAGCCATGGAATGTGGACTCGGAAGAGATCTGAAAGAGGTGGAGGAAGAGGAAGTACAGTGTCAGGATCCAGCTTGGTCATTGGCTACTGTGGGCCTTATTTCTCTTCTAAGGCTGGGCTCCTTTGGAAAGCATTCATTCATCCAGGAAACATTTCTCATACACGTATACTATACTAGATCCTGTGCTAGGTGCCGGGGACACGGGTGACCAAGACAGATGTGACCTCTGCCCCCACTGAGTTTGCCATTAATGGGGAAGGCACACAACACTGAACTCTGGTGAGAATTACAGGAGGCCTATAAGAAGCCACAAGATCACTCATCATCTATGAAATCCTAGAGGTTGGGAGGGAGAACACTATCTAAGGGTGTAGATAGGTTTTTGAGTGAATCTGGAATAAATGAAAGCAGAAATGGAAAGGTGACAGGAAAAAAAGTTCTTGTCAAAGACAAGATCTTGACGCTTTGAGATCTAATCGGCAATTTTTCATATCTCTGAAATGTGATAGTTACTGGGACAAGGGAATTCACCTCAGCAAACAAGCTGGTATTCAAAATGGAATTGGGAGATCTTGTTTTTAATGAGCTCAGAAACAGATAATTTCAAAACATAATTTCAAAGCAAATAATTTCAAAGTGCTACCTGCTAAGGTAGCACAAAGGGTACACTTGGAGCTGTTAAGAACCAAGTGTCTGGAGCCTATCTGCCTGCAATTAACTCCTAGCTCTCCCCCTTCCACAGAAGCAATCTAAAGATAGTCAAGCTGACCACGCCTTTATTTTGTCATCTGCAAAATGGGATCATAATAATGGCTAGCATTATATTGAGCACCAAAGTGCTACCTGCTAAGGTAGCACAAAGGGTACACTTGGAGCTGTTAAGAACCAAGTGTCTGGAGCCTATCTGCCTGCAATTAACTCCTAGCTCTCCCCCTTCCACAGAAGCAATCTAAAGATAGTCAAGCTGACCACGCCTTTATTTTGTCATCTGCAAAATGGGATCATAATAATGGCTAGCATTATAATGGCTAGCATTATATAAGTCTGTGCATTGCACGGAGGGCTGATCGTTTAATAATACCTGAACAACTCAGGATGAAATCGAATCTCCTGCGTAAAGCACTCAGAACAGTTCCCTATACCTAGTAAGACCTCCATAAACGTTAGGTTTTTCTTGGTTTGTTTCTGTTTTTAATTGGCCAACCAGAGGAGAGAGCGGGACCATCTGAGAACATTCTCTGGACTAGGCCTTAGTGAGAAGACAGGTGTTCCAGCACGGGGAGAATGGCTTCACCAAGCCCTGGGGTCGTCAGGCACGGTGTGTGCTGGGAACTACACAGCATAATGACTAAGTGCAGAATCTGAAGTCGGGCGGCTCCACTTAGCTGGGTGACACTCAGCAAGTCACTCAGCTTCCATGGTTCTCAGTTCCAGCGTTTGCTGAAATCCGTTTTTACTGCAGTTTCCTGCAAGGGGATCACTTGGAACTCAATAAATGCCAATTTCCCTCGGGCATCTTCACTTTTCCTCAGAACCGCGCTCAGTGCCTGGCAGGCAGTAGGAGGAGGGGCGGGAAGGCGACAATAGCAAACATAGAGGGCTATGTAAGTGTCCCAGACACCGATCTAATACTCAATCCTCACAGCAGTCTTAAGGACAGATCTTAATGTAACTATTTTCAGACGGGGAAACTGGGGCACAGGCCAGCTAAGTAATTTATGAAGCTCTAAGCACATTTCTTGTAAACCAGGAGAGACGTTAACCCTCAGTAGGACCCAGCAGCGGAAACCCCGCCGCACCTCTGAGAGCTCAAGCGCCCTGGAGCCCCTGGGGGGCGGGACCAAGTAGAGGAAGTCCCGCCCACATGGGAGGAAGTCCCGGCCCCAGGTTTCCGCTTCCGCCCCAGCTGTCCTGTCCGTTCTAGTGCGGTAGAGTGTTCGGGATGGCGGCGGGAGGCGACTGCGGCGGCCAGCAGGCGGCCTGCGGGCACGACAGCTACCGCTCGCCGCTTGCCTCCCGCTACGCCAGCCCGGAGATGTGCTTCTTGTTTAGCGACAGGTACAAATTCCGGACCTGGCGGCAGCTCTGGCTGTGGCTGGCGGAGGCGGAGCAGGTAACGGGTCCCGGGGCTGAGGGGCTGGGCTGAGGGAGGCGGGTCCGCCCCAGCACGTGCTGGGCCCAGCGCGGGCCTGACGCCTCGGGGACAGCTGCCCCGCTATTTTCGGCTGCGTGTTCGGTTTCGTGAGGAGCCGCGGCCCAGGGAGGCCGGGGTAGGAGGCCCGGGAGCCGCCACCTGTTGCTTCGCATGCTTTTAGTCACTGAGGCCTAGAGACGCGGAGGCGGCAGCGAGAAGTGCAGTCTAGGGTTTCAGGGACTAAATCTTGGCCATGCCTGCAGTACGCTGTTGACCTCGGACACTGAGCCCTCGTGACGTACTGCTGTGCTCATTTCTTTGCCCATCTTTTGTGGTTTAACCGACAAAACCCTTGCAAATTAGGTGATGCTTTTCCCACATTAGAGGGGGAGAAAACCAGGCCTCGATAATAACCAAGTGCGTTATGTGCTCTGGAGTCTGGAGCACCCAGTTATGAAGAGCGGAACTGGGGGGTGAGCCTGGCTGGGTTCAGTGCAGAGCCTGAGCGCTTAGCCACTTCGTCTTCCAAGGTGCCTCTGTGTTGTGACAGGATTGTCATTACAAAATCCATGTTTCCTAGGCCACTTTCCACCTCACGCGTCCACCTTTTGCATCTGAGGGAGGAGACAGAGTAGGGGTTAATTAGACTGGGTTTACAGTTTCTTTTATAAGAATTGCATGTGGAGCTGTTGGGCCCAGCGGTTTCAGAAATAGTGCCAGAGGGGCCTTCCCAGAGGAGTTGAAGGAACCAAAGTGATCCAGAAAGCTATAAAGTTTCAGAGGAAAATGCCACAGGCAGGATGGCAGTGTCCTCTAAAATGGCATGAGTAAACACCGAAACAATCTTGAGTCGGTGACTGGGAGCATGGTACAGTGGAATTCCTCAGAAAGGAAACTTTCATCCTAGATTTCCCCTCCCTATCTCTGTGCTTAAGAAAGTAAAGCGACATCATAATAGCAGACATTTCTGTAGTGCCTACTATATGCCAGGCACTGCTTTAAGACTACATATTAATAGCTCATTAATCTTCAAAACAACCCATAAGTACTATTTTACAGAGGTTTTACAGATAGTGTAATGGAGGCACAGAGAGAGTTCATAAACTACTGGCTCAGATAACAATAGTGGACAGTAGAAGAGAACATTAGTAGCATGTTGTACTTTATTATGTATTAACATGTACTCTATTTTCTATTTTATTTGATGCTTCGTTAAATAGTTTAGGGTGGTGACATTCAAAGACTTCACCAGGGTTAACATAGTTAGTAAATGGCTTCAAGCTGGAACTGAAATATAAAGTCATCTGAATATGTGTTCTTTCCGCTGCCCAATCTGCATGTTGCCTGAAATGTATATAATTTAGAAATAATCTCCTGCATGTGGTTTATCTGTTAGGTTGTCAAAATTAGCAGCATAGATTATATGATAATTTAGTAGTTAAGGAAAAACAAGGAATGAGGGATTAAGAGGAGTGCAGAAAATGAGGAGGTGGGGAGTGAATTTTGAGAAGATACATTGCCTGGGGGTAGGAAGCAGTTTGACCACGCTGCCCCCTGCTGCTTTGGGGGGAGCCCTGGGATGTTGCATTTACTGGCTGAAGATCCAAGGTAGCTCTACCACTTGTGGCTACTGAGCACTTGAAATGTAGCCAGTGTGACTGAGTAACTGAATTTTTACTTTTAATTTTAATCATTTTAAATGTAACTAGTCACATCTGGTCAGTAGTTACCATCTTGGACAAGATAGTTTTAAGGTTCAGGATCCTCCCCAGAGCTAGGGCTTGGGAATTTCAAATGAGGTTTGAATCAATGTCACCATTTGGATCCAGGGTTCTGAGCTGCCTGTGGTCTGCCAGCCTGATTTTTCCAGTGATGGATGAATGTGAGATGTTGATGTGTTTATTTTCTCTTCAATTATCTCCTGGAATTCCTTTCTGTTGCACTGAATTTCTATACCTAATTTCTTGGTGAAACTACTTACAGCATTCCTAATTTTGGTTTCTCTAGGTAAAATCATCTGGGACAAATGTAAAGCAATGACTTCAATTCCACACTTTGGGTGCTTACTAAGGAGTAAGCAATATCCTCTCATGGAGTATACATTCTAAAGGGAGAGAGAGGCTAATGCATTTGTAAGAATGTCATGTGATACGGGCTGTCAGTAAAACCAGGCTTAAGGGCTAGAGAGACAGAGAAGAAGAGTCAGGAAAGATCTCTCTGAAGAAATGACATTTGAGCCCAGAGACCAGATAATGTGAGAGAGTGAGCAGAGCTATAGAACAAAGATCAGGATTACATTGTTGTTTGTATATATTGAAGTTTAGTTAGTATATAATTTACCAAGATTAAGAAAGTTGTCCCTTTCCTCCCCATGTCCCTAGTTTGTCTCAAATTTTAATTAAAGAATTGGGAGATAGGGCATAAATGCTAACATGAACCAATTTTTTTTTTCGATGTCACCCCAACTCAAATAATTGTGACATCTGAAGTTATTTTGTGTATTCTGCAGAAATTGGGTTTGCCTATCACAGATGAACAAATCCAGGAGATGAAGTCAAACCTGGACAACATCGACTTCAAGATGGCAGCTAACAGAGAGAAACAGTTACGACATGATGTGATGGCTCACGTGCACACGTTTGGCCACTGCTGTCCAAAAGCCGCTGGCATTATACATCTTGGTGCCACCTCCTGCTATGTTGGAGACAATACAGTAGGAGTCCATGTTATTTTGTTTCCACTTTATGACTCAATCTTTATAATACATTTATAAATTTTTATTTGTCCAGTTTTAGAAAGTTTTAGGGGTATTTAAACACTCAGGAATTTTCTGCTTTTGCTATCCCTCCAGTCTAAACTATGAGCACCTAATGACCTCTGTAAAATAAGACCCGCAGGTGTGGCTTACACTTGGAATGCTGGACATAAACCAGGATCTTAGCATTTTAATAGCCAAGATAATTTTCCAAAGGGATTTTCTTTCCCAAGTTGTTTATGACTTTGCTGTGACTTCTTTAAAAAAAAAAAAAAAGATTGCATTATAATTCTTAAATAAAACCTTTAATTAGCAAAAACATTGTATAGTTAAACATGAGAAAGTAACAGCACATATTTTCCTGAGTTTACCAGTTGCTTGGTGATTTATATGTATTCATTTATTCTTCACAATAGTTATAAGTGATAGATGCTATTATCTCAGTTTTAAACAGATTTTTTGAGGTATATTGTACCTACTATAAATTTACTTGTTTTAAATGTACAGTTCAATGAGTTTTAGTAAGTTTATGCGATTGTTTAACCTTCACCACATTCCATTTTTGGAGCACATCCCTAACCCCAAGTTCTCTCCTGCCTGGTTGCAGTTGCTCCCTACCCTGCTTCCAGATCCAATCACCAGCCTGCTTTCTGTCTTCACAGTTCTGCCTTTTCTAGAAATTTCATATAAATGGAATTGGACTATGTAGTCTTTAGAATTTGGCTTTATTATTCCCATCTTTGCAGCTGAGGAAACTTTAAAGAAAGGTTGAAGAACTTGCCTAAGGTTACACAGAAATAAGACAAGCCCAGGTAGAATGGCTCCAAAACTGTGCTTTTAATCACAGTGCACCTGTGAGACCAGAAATTACAATCCAGATACACTTCCACTTCAGAAGAAGCCGCTGATTTTTAAGTTTCCCCAAGTACTTTTTTAGTTTTAAGTGGTACATAATTAAAGGCATGATGTGTAATTGGTGAATCAAATAATGAAAGAATAGTTCTCTCATTTGGAATATACTTTTTAAAAGCATGCAGTGTGTAGCTGTGTTCAATAATTACTGTCTCATTTAAGCATATGTTGGACTTGCCCAAGATACATCTCTTATCTCTCTCAGGAACAGGTTTAAATTTCTTAAACCTTGATATTTTGGTTCATCATGCCTTTTTTTGTAAGCAATGATAGACATTTAAAAAGGAAGATGAAGTTAATGGAGTGTGCTTTGTGGAAGCTTCTCGGAGATTCACGCACTGTCTTTGGGCAAATACAAACCTTGTTGACCCGGACATCTTCACAATAAACAGAATGGGGTTTAACCTTTTAACTATTTCTCCAGTCATTTTAGATAACCATGTAAATTGGGCTTTATGAGTATATGGGTTTTGTTTCTTATAGTTTCCCAGAGTACCGCTCTCTTAAGTTGGTGTGCGTTTACAACAGTAACCAGAAAAGAACAACTTCCATTAGCATCTTCTGGCTTGCGTAGTGGGTTGTTAATAGTGCGCTAGGTGGCTAGCTGAGAAACCCAGTTGTGATGGCCAAAAGCATTATATGGTAATGTTTGGGCAGAGCTGTTAACATAAGACTGTTGTGTTTTCCTTTGCAGGACCTGATTATTCTTAGAAATGCACTTGACTTGCTTTTACCAAAGGTGAGAAGTTAGCAGATATTTCCTACCAGCCCTGGATTCCCTGTCGTAGGGCATCAACACAATGTGACTCTAAATAGATGATCATTTACTCCGGCAAATGATCCTATATCTAATCTGTAGGACTGATTGTCTCTTGGGTTAAAACACTGTAAGTGGATGCTTTTTAAAGCCTAGCCTTTTAAATAAGGGAATTGTGTAACCAGCGGCATGTAGCTGGAATGGTGGGTCAGATTTATGATTTTGTCCTATTTTTCTGCATGAGTGTGTCATTGGTCTTAAAATTGTGCAGTAAAAATTCATGACTTTAGGTAGTCAGCTCAATTTTTGAAAGTTCGTTGCTATGAACTCTTTAAGGCACTTTAGAGTACAAAGTTGAAAAGATAGGGCCTCTGCCTTCCATGAGCTGGAGGTCTCATTCTATATTAAATTGTCTAAAAGTTTAGTTCCTGATTATGTAATGAGCTCAACCTGAATTCACCCTCTCTTCTACTGCATGATCTTTCTTGTAGCTTGCCAGGGTGATCTCTCGGCTTGCTGACTTTGCTAAGGAACGAGCTGATCTTCCCACCTTAGGTTTCACACATTTCCAGTAAGTGCTATGATTACTTCTTGGGAAATGGGCTTGTTTATTTGCACCTGGCTTTCATTTATTCCTTCAGTTCTCCCTTCTGCACAGAAACCTGGAGGTGAAGAATCTCAAATATAGCTTAAGCACATACCTTAGGATGCTTATGAGGAATGAACCTGATACCTTAAAAGCTATACTGGTGAGAGAGTAAATATAATAGTTCATTTGGGAAGAATTGGGCAATGTGTATCAAGAGCCTTAGAAAATATTCATATTCCTTGATTGAATAATTCCATTCTAGAGAATCTAGCCCAAGGAAGTAATCCAAATTATGGGGGAAAGCATTATGTACAAAGATCTTTGTTGAAGTACTGTTTATGATAGTAAGCATTGGAAACTATCAAAATATTCTACAATAAGAAAATAATTAACAAGATATATTGTAGATCCAAAGCCATTAAAATGATTCTGGTAAGACGGATATTGTGCACATGTACTTAGATTGATGTTATGGGATAAAGACAGCATATAAATTGCACAAAGATTGAAATAAATTATACCAAGTTGTAACTATTGATTACTCTGATTTATGAGATAATAAGGTATTTAAATTTTTTCTCTACTGTTTTTTGAATATTTTTAAAATGCAAGCATTTTTATAATTACCATATAACCCTTTTTAAAAGCTGATGAAGTCATTTTTGCAATTCTAGTAGCAGGTTCTGAGTGACGATATTTGAGTAGTGGTGTATCAGCATTTGCCTTATGTCTTGATGGGGTTTTGCAAAGGCAACAAGGATGTCATCTATAACTTGGGAAAGACTAAGTTGAGTTTAATCTTCCTAGAAGTTCAGGCCTGCATTTATTGGTAGAAACCTGAAGAAACTGTTCATGTGAATGAATCTATGCTCAGTGTGTGCGGCTTGGCCATGGCTCATGTTCACTCTGCCTTCCTGCACACCTAGCATTACTTGTGTGGCAGCTCCTCCTCCTCTCCTGCATCTTTTGGAAAGTGCTCAGAGAATTCAGGCATTCTAGTATTCCTCCATATATCGTAGTGAAAGGGATCTGCTGCCACAGTGAGCAGGCATCAGAAACTCAGAAAATGGTGTGGATGTGTAGGCATCACCTCAGTATGTCCTTAGCTGCAGTTAAAAAGAAACAGCTTCATTGAGATATAATTCACATGCTATAAAATTCACCCCTTTTAAAATGTACAGTTGGGTGATTTTAGTATATTTACAGTTATGCAGTATATAGTCAGTATGTAATCTCAGAATATTTCCATCACCTCACAAAAAAACCCTGTACCTATTAGAATTCACTCTCATTCCCCTACTCCCTAGCTCTTGGCAATCACTAACCTAGTTTCTGTCAGTGGCTTTGGTTCTTCTGGACATTTTATTTAAATAGAATCATCCAGTATTCATCCTCTTTTGACTCTTCTTTAACTTAGCACAATTTTTACAATGCATATTGTATGTATCAATACTTCATTTCCTTTTACGGCCAAATAATATTCTATTGTATGGATATACCATGTTTTGTCTGTTCATCACTTGATAGATAATTTGGGTGGTTTCTACTTGTGGCTGTTGTATATAATACTGCTGTGAATAGATCCATGCAAATTCATTTATTTCGTTGTTTGTGCCAATAATCTATTAGCAGGAGTTAGCAAGGAAAACTACCATGAAATTAATTTGGGGATCTGTTGTAGCTTGTTATGTACCTAGTAGTGTTCCTTGATGTTGCCAGCTGTCAGTATCATTAGCCCAGAGAAATAAAAATAGAGAAATTCCATCCGGGATAGGCTAGATCATCTATTAGAATTCTGGCATTATTGCAGGTTATTCATAAGTGTGTTTTATGTTCAGAAACAGACCTGCAATGGATTGATTTAGACTTCAACTGGAAATAAAGCCGTAGCTGTAATGTTAGAGTCCTTTGGTTATGTGTGTGTTAGGGTGGTTCTCCACAGCATGGCTGGCTCCTCATTGCTTCTGAACTCCTCACAAAGGCCTTCTTTGACTGTCAGTCTAGAATAGCATTCGCCGTTGTCCTCATCCTCATTTTCTTGTTTCATATTTTTTATTAAAAAAAAATTACTTTTTTTGTTTACTTATTTATACTACAACGTGAGCTCCATTGGACAGGGACCTTTGTTTTGTTCTTTGTTGTACTTCTAAAACCAAGAACACATTAGATACTTGACAGATGTTTGTTACATGAGTGTATATTTCTTACCAAAATCTGGGGATGAACAAAATGGACATTCTCTGCCCTTACATTGTCTCTTGATGAGGAAAAACTATATTAGGAGCTCTTTAGCCTTGTAATTTTTGACGAGTTTTGAATGACATAGAATCTCCGTAACTATTATTTGCTCCAGTTTCTTAGCTCCAGTTTTATCTGGACTGGCTTCTCCATCTCTTACTTTAATTCTTCCCAGCCATAACAGTGATGATTAGAGGAAGCAACGAAGCTTTCAGGAAGTAAGTCCTTGGTTTGAGACTTCTCTGTGTTCTCTTTGGGTTGTTTTCAGGCCTGCTCAGCTGACCACAGTTGGGAAACGTTCCTGTCTTTGGATTCAGGATCTTTGCATGGATCTCCAGAATGTGAAGCGGGTCCGCGATGACTTGCGCTTCCGTGGAGTGAAGGGCACCACGGGTACTCAGGCCAGCTTCCTCCAGCTCTTCGAGGGAGATGACCAAAAGGTATTGTGGGACACAGAAATGTAGTGGTGGAGCACCAGAGACAAAGCTGACCTCTAGAACAGTAGGAGGTTGATCTCAGTCTGAGTGGAGTCTTTGGACTAGAAGGGGTGTGGGGGTGCCGCAACCTGGGCAGGAAGTTGAGATAGTTTTCATGCTGGACACACCTGGATTACTGTAAGGATGTCTTTTCTTTCCAAGGTAGATGAGCTTGACAAGATGGTGACAGAAAAGGCAGGATTTAAGAGGTGAGTAAATGGGGGGAATTGTCGGCCTCCCTATTAAGTGACAAAAGGCCCATGTTGAGCATACCTCCACGTTTGAACCTAACTTTTTTAGCTTTTTCTTTCGTTGTTCCTCCACCCATTTCCTTCTATCTTTCGCCTGGGTTTTATTTTCTTATATAGCCTGGATTCTATTTTCTTAAAATCTATAAGAAAAGAAATTATTTATTTCTGAGATTTTTTTAAGATAGACTTACCGTGTTGTTGCTGGTTTTGTTTCTTTACCTCCAGTGGATTAGTCTAAATCCATTGAGAGGCCACCAGGCTCCGCCATGGCTCCTTCCAGGCACTTCCATCAGGCGGCAGCAGGACAGGGGCACATGGGCTATATTTCCTTCTCAGGACAGCTATTTGTGTATTAGTGAAAAGGGTAGAAGAACAGTTAGCTCCAGAGGCCAGTTATCAGCAAGGTCCTCTGGGCTGAATGTGACTTAGTATACCAGTGAGACCAAGCTTTCACTTAGGGTCTGCTCACTTGATTGATACAGTCACAGTTTAAAACATTTCCACTAAAGGCTCTCTTCTATTTCTAGGGCTTTCATCATCACTGGGCAGACCTATACACGAAAAGTGGATATTGAGGTGCTGTCTGTGCTGGCTAGTTTGGGGGCATCAGTGCACAAGGTGAGTGGTGGTAGCTTGTGGGGATGAGGATGAAAGCTTTGAACACCACAGACAGACCAGATCAGCCTTAGACTGTACTTACCCTGTTGCTCAAGAGATATCAAATGTCATTTTTAACAATTTGGGTCCCATAAGTGAAGCTTCTTAAATTAAGGTATATTAAAAGGAAGGACTGGTTTTGGCGTTCTCATTAAAATTCCTTGTGCTGTTGTCTTTCTGTGATACGTTAGGCAATGTTTCACACAAACATGTCCACGTTCCCTGAGTGTATCATGCCAGCTCTTCAGGAGCCAAGAGAAGTCCGAGTAAGAGTCTCTCCTGGAGCTCTTGGGGAGGATTTGCGATGCAGGGATGAGGCTTTGCAGCAGCACACCTAAAGAGCAGCCTCCTTCATCAGTCTCATCCCTGCCCCCAGATTCCTCCATACCAAGAGTATGGGGTGATGCTTGTACCCCTGCCATTCCCCAGATTTGCACCGATATACGACTCCTGGCGAACCTCAAGGAGATGGAAGAACCCTTTGAAAAACACCAGATTGGTAAGTGACAACCAGAGGTGCTGAGAGGCTTGTGGGCGTGTGTTTATAGTTCACCTGATAGCATGCTTGGGCCCTCCCTGTCTTCTAAAGTCTTTCTGTCTTTGCTTCTTGTCCTTGTACATGGGCAGGCTCCAGTGCGATGCCATACAAGCGGAACCCTATGCGCTCAGAGCGGTGCTGCAGCCTTGCCCGTCACCTGATGGCCCTTGTCATGGACCCGCTGCAGACAGCATCTGTGCAGTGGTTTGAACGCACATTGGACGATAGTGCCAATCGGTCAGTGGAATGGGGATGTCATATGCAGCAGGTTGCGGGGAGGACCAAAAAGAGTGGCCTGGGAGCAGGACTTTTTGAGTATCTCTGTGTTTCCTCCTTGTCCCCAAGGAGCCTGGAGTCTAGCAGGGAGGAAAAAACATAGAACAGTGTGATAAGTGTACCTCAAAGTAATCTTTGTGGGAGCAGACACGTAAGAAATAAGTAGGCATTTTTTAAGAGACATTTAAGACAAGATCGGGAGCATGTATAAAGTCCCAAACGCAGGAGAAAGAGCAGTTTACAGAGCTACTAATAGTAGTACTAAGGAATGAAGTGTTGATATGGCAAAAGATGAGGCGGATCAGGAATTGTAGCAAGTTTATGAAGGGCATTATAGGCCCTGAAAAGGAGTTTAGATGATGTTCTGAAGGCAGGTAGAAGTCAGCTGTGGTGTCCTGGCACAGTGCCATGTTGATGAGTTTTGAGGTGTGTCAGAAGTAACCTGTAGCTGAGAATAAGGTACCAACATGCACATGGTTTTCTGCTTGATGTGTTTACTTTTTTCAAGCAGATATATATTACACTGGTTTAACTGGGATTTTTTGAGTGGAGAAGGCTGTATAGTTAAAGCTACCTCTCTGGGATCTGTGCATAATCCAGGGTTTATCTGCGAACACGTTCAGAAATCAACCATAGAATACTTTTTAACAGAGTATGACCTAATCAGATGCGCATGCTGAAACACTACAACACTTTGGAGAATCAGCTGTAAGGGGACATGAATCTGGTCAGTACAAGTTAGGAGGCTACTTTAAAAATTCCAAGTCCACATTGGCACAGTGGCTGCATGAATGAGAGGAAAGCTGTGGATATAAAATCAGGCAGGTTGGCTGCCCTTAGTGGTTGAGCAAGTATTAAGATTGGTGATGGGGTGCTAGTGCCATTTACTGAGGCAGGAACCATAGGGAGAGGAAGAGCAGGTTTGAGCTGGTATACAGGAGAGAGTGTAAAGTGGCTGAATTCAGTTTGGGGGTCTGAGGTACCTCGTAGAACTCAACCAAGTGGAACTCTCTATCAGATATCTGGTCTGGACAAGAGGTGATAGATTTGAAGGTCATCAGGGTATTGGGGTAGTTGAAATCATGAGATTGAAGGAAGTTGTCCAAATAGTACATGCAGCGTGGGAAGTCAATAGGGCTACTTCTTGAACATACCCTATATTTCACTGAAAGTGTTACTTGCTTAAAGAGATAATTGAATTGGCTGTTTGTTTTCTAGACGTATCTGTTTGGCCGAAGCATTTCTCACTGCAGATACTATACTGAATACGTTGCAGAACATTTCTGAAGGATTGGTGGTGTACCCCAAAGTAAGAGGCCTCAATTAAAAAGCAAAACATTAGGGAGAGGTTGGAATATGGGAAGGGAAGCGGAACCTTTGTCTGCTCTGGAGCGAGTGTGTTGGGGGAGCTCAGTTCTGGCCCAGTAGGAGCTCTTCCCAACTGGAGCTCGCTCTTCAGATTGCGTCATAAGCTCTAGGAAACTGACTATGTGGAATTCATAGACATGTTTCTAGAAAAGGGAAAAAAATACTTTGAATTGGCTTAAACAATCTACCAGCATGATTGGCAGAGTAGACTGTTCCCTTTGCCTGTTTATAAGTACCTGAGGCAGATGGGTTCATTTCCATCATACACTCAGCTCTGGTATTGGGTACCGAAATTTAACGACTTGAAATTTCGGGAATCATTCCGATGAAGCACCTTTTAAAAGTTTACTTAAACAATATTTCTTTTTTTTAATCAAAATAATACTCTGGATCACTAAGAAAACTGAAAGAATACAGGGTTAGAATAAAACGGTCCTTTCTGCCTTTTTTATAAGTATAATAGTTCGTGTCCCTGATGTGCATTTTGCTGATCATAGTCAATATCTGACTGTGTGTATGTGTATGACCATGTAACCTTGAGGCATCTTTCTTGGCCCTTCATTCATTCATCTAGGTAATTGAGCGGCGCATTCGGCAAGAGCTGCCTTTCATGGCCACAGAGAACATCATCATGGCCATGGTGAAAGCTGGGGGTAACCGCCAGGTTTGTAGCTCCTCGTGTTCCTGGATAATTTAGTCTTGAAGAGTAGATGAAGAAAGGCTCTTCTATCATTACCTTCAGTCACAGTATTGGTACAGAGCAGTGACCGTATTCTGCCAGAGAATAGGTGTCTTCTGAATAGGCTTATTGTGGTAAACTCAGTTTATTAAAAGTGAACCACTTAATCACCCGTAGAAAAGTTCCACTCTTAGTGAAGGAATTAGGCCTGATTTTCCATAGGAAATAATAAGAAGTAGTCAGGACACAAGAGCAGATGGTTCAGGAGGCTTTAGAGGAGCCAGCACGAGGTGGATGTCTGCTTTAGTTTGTCCTAGGATGTGGTCAGAGAGTCAGGCTCTAGGTGAAGTCAGACTGAGAGAAACCTCAGGGGCTTTGTGTTACAGGTATAGAAGGCATGGATTTGAAGTGTCAGGTGACTTATCAGGATGTTCGAATGCCCTGTTAACAGTGAACCAACAATACCTCACTGTCTTCCCAGGATTGCCATGAGAAAATTAGAGTGCTTTCCCAGCAGGCAGCTGCTGTGGTCAAGCAGGAAGGGGGTGACAATGACCTCATAGAGCGTATCCTCGCCGATGTCTACTTCAGTCCCATTCACTCCCAATTGGACCATTTACTGGATCCTTCTTCTTTCACTGGGCGTGCATCCCAACAGGTAAGCATCAGAACACTTTCATGGAGCTGCAGTCTTCCCCAAATGCCTGCTTTTACACTATGGGGCTGCAGAACCTGGAATACTGTAATGTTTCTATTTTATGGGAGCTACAGTGAGAATGGGGATAGTTAGAATTCAGAGCAGGTTGCTGGCTAAACTGTAAAGTTTTGGTGTTTTGAGCTGCCATAAGGATTTCTTGTGTAGATTTCTCTGAATTCTTTGTTGCTCTAAAGAATGGTATAATGGACAAAGATTGGGTTTTACAAGACATCATGTAAGTCAGGTTTAATTCTGACTTCTGGTATTTACTGGCTGGTAGGATAAAAATACACACCTCATAGAGCTGTGTGAGATTGAAAGGCCTAGCGTAGTGCTTGGTGCATAGTAAGTATTCAGTAAATGTCATTTTTCCTGTTGTCCTTTTGGAGACTACAAGAGTTAGTTCGAAAACATTCATCAAGTGCAGACTGAGTGTTCAGTATGTGTTCAGGTACTGTGTTTAATTCTGGGACTATAAAGGTGGGTGGATAATCCTTATTTTCAAGGAGCTCAAAACTTAGTGGTGATGAATTATAAATAGTTCATTGTAATACCAAGCATTACATGCTGGAATTAAGGAAAGCACATCTTTTTGGGGATCACAAAGGAGGAAAAACCCTAGAAGAGTAGAATTTGGGAAATACTTCTTGGAAGACATGACATCTGAGCTGAATATTAGGGACAAGTGGGAGTTAGTCTGGAAACACCAGGCTGAGAGGAAATGGCAAATACATAGACATCCAACACGAGAAATTACAATCATTTGCCAGAATATTAAGTGCCCCCAGAAGTAGTTACAGGATTTAACATTGAAGACAAGCGTAAGTTTGTCATTTATATTCAAATCACTTTGGTGTTTTGGATTTGGAAGACAAACTGGAAGTGGCGAGGCCAACAAGTGGAGGCTGCTGTAGTGGGCCAAGCAGTTGATAATGAGGCTTTGAGCCAAGGCGGTGGTTGGTACAGACGAGGGGGGTTATTGAGGGCTATTTAGAAGATTAATCGCTTGGCAGCTGGTTGAATAGGAGGAGGGGAAAAGCAAGCAGTGATGATTTTAGCTTGGGTAACTAGGTAGAGAATGGTGAGATCCACTGAAAACACAGGCTGGACGGGATGGCATGTGTGGGCGTGGCGGGTTGAGCTGCATGTATCTTGGGAGAGATTTCTTACAGGCAATTGAGAAAAACAGAAGCTCAGTGGTAGAGTAAAAGTTCTATCAAATTAGGTGTTGATATAAACTGACATTGAAAAAGTATCAAAACTTACATCTTAATGTTTTCTTTTGTCTTATGTTTGCATTCCTCTTTGGCAGGTACAGAGATTCTTAGAAGAGGAGGTCTACCCCCTGTTAAAACCATATGAAAGTGTAATGAACGTGAAAGCAGAGTTGTGTCTGTAGAGTTGGAAGAGAATTAAAAGTCATTGTCGGCTGTGTTAATTTTTATTGCCAAATCATGAAAATTGTTACTCTAGTGCCTTGTTTTACCTCAAGAATTGTTCCCTTAAATTAATACAGCACTTTTCTTTCCATGATGCGGTCACATTTCTCAAGGTTTACAATGCGGAAAAAATCGTGTTGTAGTTGGATATTTTTTTTTATAGCAACACAAATTTGCATAATAAATGTAGCTCATAGTCTGCTCTGTTCTTTCAAGGCATATTTTCCAGCTAGTCTAGTCCTTTTCACATGTTCACTTGATTGCGAGGTAGTGAGCAAGTTACTGCTCCTCTCTTTTGAAGGTGTGTTTGGTCTAGTCCAGCAGAGTAACCTGGACTCAGTGATTCAGAGTGGTTGGGTACCTTTCTTTCAGTTGCGTTTGGCTAGAATAATAATGAAATTTGGAGTTACGGTAAGTTCTCAGAGAAACTGATATGATCATCAGGCTTACTCAGCTCAAGTTGTGCCCAACCCCACTTCATTTTTTTGATAAGGCCCGTATATCAAGGGAATGCCAATAGGTTATGTTGATTTCATCAAGGCATTTGACAGTATAATCTTGGTTACACAGATTGATAGTCAGTTGAACCAGCAGTAGCCAAAGAACAGTGTTAACACCATGCATAGGAAAGCTACATTTTCTAGGATTTGACATTTTAAGCAATAGAGAATTACTATATTTTATAAGTGGAAATACCACTACTAAAAACAATGCTATAAATAGTCATTTGTTTCCAAAGACTATTGATAGACTAGAGCGATGTGAAAATAATTAAAACTAGACGTTTCATGGCAGACTTTAGCGGTAAGATTAGGGCTGTAATCTGCAAATAATCTCAGGGTAAATGCTGCAGCTGCCAGTGCCGCCAGCGAGTAGTCTCAGGGCGCACGGGAAGTGGGTTAATTAAAGGCATTTCGGTGAGCTGCAGGTTGACTGAGAAGAGGCAACCTCATACCTTCTCGAAGATTAGGTTGAATTCACTTAATCACTGATGCAAACTCCAGGATCTGAACCACCCAGAAATCAGGGTCTGGGCAAACTGTGGGACGACTGGCTTCTATTTCAGCTGCAGTCAGACACCTGGGCGCTTAGTGCCCCTTCTTCCCTTGGCTGATGGTAGATTTCATTTGATAATCAGGAGAGCCTGATGACAAGTGGAAGCACAGAGGTTAGGTGCCTCCAGAATGGTGATGTAAATCTTGGATTAAGTGCCTGAAATTACAAAGCATGAAGAAGGTACTCAGGAAATGTCGTTTTCCTTTCTGAACCCAGGAGGGTTTACCTACCTTCCTCTCAATGTGCTCAGTCAGGTAGCAGGCTGGGACTTGATGCTGCTGTTTGTTTGGTTTACCTGTTGTGGGAGAGTACATCCTGAACTTGAACCAACCAGAAAGGGAGGAGTCATAAAAAATAAATGGGAAAAAGTAAATAGTTTTAAAACCTGGAAAGCTATATTACGAAATATTAAACATGATTTCTTAGATAATGAGTTCAAGGTGATTCAGCTTTTGTGTCTTTTTTCAAGTTTTAATACAATTTTTATTTAGACAATTTTAGAAGTTTCTTTTTTAATGTTTAAATTTAGGCCAGCTCACTAGAAATAGCTTTTAATCAGAATTTTCTCTTTTTTAATTTTATTCCATTAGAGTTGACATTCAATATTATTTTATATTAGATTTACAGAAAAATTGCAGAGATCGAGTACAGAGAGTTCCCACATACCCCATACTTGGTTTCCCCTATTATTAAATCTTTCATTGGTATGTTTGCTTGTTTGTTTGCTACAGCACCTAGCATTCCTAGGTGGTCTCCTATCCAAGTACTAACCAGGCTTAGCTTCCAAGATCAGACAAGGTTGGGCACGTTCAGGGTAGCATGGCTGTAGAATGGTTTTGATGTCACAATTAATGAACCGATATGGTACATTAAGTAAAGTTCTTAGTTTTTAGCTAATGTCTCTTTTCTGTTCCAGGTCCCATCTGAAACAAATTAATATAGTCATAACATTTTTTAAATACTGAAATTTATATAATATGTTCTTTATCAGAGATGTGGTCTAATGGACACAAAGTTTAGCACATAAATTTAGTTAATTCTAAACACAAGTAGAAGTTGATGTAGAGTTTGATTTTTCCATTCTGGATCTGGTGTGATTTTGTCCCTACCTCATTAAGTGCTGTGTATAGAGATTTTTTTTCTTTTTTTTTCGCACCTTCAGCACCCAGTCTTCATAGGTGGTCTCTCATCCAAGTGCTAACAAGGCCTGACCCTGCTTAGCTTCCGAGATCAGACAGGATCGGGCGTATTCAGGGTAGCATGGCCATAGACTAGAGACATTCTTAAAGTCCAAATTTCTGGGTGGGGGAGAATGGTTTAAGTGATGAGTATGAGTGGTAATTTGCCTTCATGAAAAGTCCATACTCAAGAAGAAACAGCTGGATGTCTGGCCCAGATTTCAAGATGAGTGTGTCAGAATAAGATGATCTGTAGATGACTACATGGACTAGGTCAAATGAGAAATGAGTGGCCCTCTATATCCTGTCATATAAGGCCCTTTGGCCTTAGAAAAGCCATGTTTGACCTGCTTTTTCAGATTCTGACTCCTTACTTGGTTTGGCAACTCCTCATATTTGCGGTGGTATTGAGCCTTCCTCTTCTACAGTGGGCCAGAAATTGTGGTTAGGAAACGTTCCAGCCCAGGAGTGAGTGGAAGGAGTTTGAAGGGATCCTCGGAAACTCCTGCAGACTCCCCTGTGCTTAATCCCCGTAAGGGACTTCTTAGGAAATAACGAGCTCATATTGAATAGTAGCTTTAAGTGGCCACATGTGAGACTGGGAAGGAGACAAGCCATGGAGGCTACAAGTCAGTTTCCATCTATAAGTGATCTATCCTTTCATAGCTGTGGCTCTAGGGTACTGAGACATTTAAAACTATGGGAAAGTGTTATACCTCCTCCATGGTTTTAAACTTTAATAGGACAGCTGTCTTTAAAAGTTGTAATTAGAATAATGTCAGTTGTAAGAGTAAAGGCCAACTATATTTTAAAATATATAATGCAGAACTCCAAATAACATCTAAGAAGGATTCATTCTCTAGTTCCTTAAATAAGTTGCTTATTTCTTTCAAGGAAAGAAGTAAAATAATATATTTATACTTCACATTTAGAAAGCTTAATTCTTTAGAAATGACCTGGAAGAAATAAATATTTACAAAATCCTGATTCAGGTTTCATACTTTAACACAATTTTTCAGCACCCTACTATGTACTGGGGAGTACAGTGGTGAGCAAGACAGTCTGCCTTCCTGGAGTTGAGGTTCCGGTGCAGGCAGCAGACTGCACAGGGTGGTGAGTGGCTCCTCAATAATGAGACACACAATTCAACATCTGACCCCATGTCACATTCATTAAGCTCCACTGAGAAAAGGTGCTCCTGAGATGTAACTTCAACAAGAAGTCCACACTGCTTCCCTTGGTTTTAGCATCTTGTAACTCACTCTTCATCATGAGGCAGTTGCTGCTTTTCCCACCTGCGTGGTGCTTGGCCGAATTACTTCAATACTCCTGGCTCCATCCACCCTTCGTGTGGCATGAATTGAGAGAGGCCTTATCTTAGGTGCTGACCTAGGAAGCTAAGAATCTGGCATTTTTCTTTCTCTTGTTTATCTGACTAATGTAGGCTAAATGCGTATATAGAATTCTTACACAGCACTTACAGATAAGAAAATTTCATAGAATTGTTAGCTAGTCTATCATCCCTTAAAAGGGAAGTACTCTTCTGTCTCCTCTGGTCTTTGGACCTGCTCAGTGTTGATCTCTGGCAAATGTCCCACCAGGGAGGGCTGGAACCTGTATTTGGTCCTTAGTTCCCTATTAAGTCTGTAGGGAGAGCTGGCAAAAAAAATGAAGTGCTAATGTTTATTCCAAAAAGCTTAGGGGCTTGTGCCGAAACTGGCATTACTCAGTCATTGAGTTTGTACACCTCAGGTCACCTTACAACTATCTCAAGAAGTTGTGTTTTCCCATAAAGGTAAATTTAAAAAATATAGCCCCTTCGCATGGTAATATGAGAGAAAAGAAATGTTACCACACTAAAAAGGCTGGAATTCATTGCTCTCAGACTTTTTTTTTTTTAAGCAAGGATTTGTAAGACAATGGTGTGGTTGTTAAAGAAAAAGGAACTTGGCCACAGAAATTGGGTTCAGATCTCTGCTCTGCCACTTAATAGGTATTATTTTGGCCAGGTCCTCTGTAAAGTTGGAATGATAAAATTCACGCTGCTTTCAGCACAGGAGTGTTGTGAATTGTGAAAGTGTTTTGTAAAGTGAGCATAATACGGTGAAATCATGACTGAGACTGCCTGGTATTTCGTAGGCTTTGTGCATGTTCCCATTCATTCATTCACCCTGGGCATCGCCACCTTTGTAACACCGCCAGGAACTTGTGCTTGGGTTAATAAGCAGCTCTGAAATTAAATTTATACATCTTCGAAGTAGGGTGAAACTTCTAGGAGAACATTCCTGTAATACTATTGTAGCTTTTGGTGACCTTTCTAAAATGTGGCAAGCAGGTCTGTCTGTTTTTCATGCTAGGGCCTGATGTCAGCTAGGACCTGGATATCAAATAGAAACGGGCCAGCTTCCTTCCCAGACTGTTAGTTTGTACTGTGTAGTAACGTTTTCTAAAACAGCATCTAATTCTCACAACCGTAAGCTCACATTCTTATTTTATGGATGAGTTAAATGTTAGCGTGGTTTAGTGACTCCAATGCAGGCCGCTGACACCCATTGCATTATGCATACCCTGAGAGTAAATTCTTGGGCATGACCTCAACCAATTCAGCGGTCCTTCCAAGGTTTGTGAATTGCGTGAGAATGGATCAGGCTGGTCTAGTACTGGTTCTGTATACCCGTAAAGAAGGCACTTAAATATACAGAAAATGAGTATCAAGTGCCCCTCCTTCCCAGAGCCCTGCCGCATCTATTCCCCATCCTGACCACTGATCCACCCCATATTGCCCAAAGCTCCTCGGGCTGCAGTGCAGATGGGAGGCTGGTGGGCATTGCTGGGCTGAAAACGGGCTTCAAAGGTCGCTCGGCTCGGGAGCGCGGTCCGGGGACGCGCGGTCCCACAGCCGCTTCGGCCCATCGGACCCGGAGGACTTCAGCCCCCAGCATGCCCCGCGCCCGTCATCCCCGTTCGGGCCCGCGCGCGTGCGCGGTAGCGCTGCGGAGCGCTGACGGGCTGAGCCCGCGGCGCTGGGAGCCGGGCGGTAGTTGGCACTGAGGTGGCAGGGAGTCGCGGCGAAGCCTCTGGACATCTCCTGCGGGGCGGTGAGTGCGGAGCGAGAGGTCGGCCAAGACCGGCTGAGTCTGCGGGGCCCCGCGCTGGCATTCGCTCTCCGGGTGGGGACGCAGGGGCGGCTGGGG